CCGCTCGATAGACGCTCTCTATGAAACTACCAATCGGACCAAAGCGTCCTGAAGCACTAGAGTGGCTATGAAACCCTCTGGGACCTGAGTTGGGCCCATTGGAGCTGCTGGAGCTGGAACCTCCTCATCATAGTCAACATGAGGCTCCACCTCTGGAACTGTTGCTCGGGGCTGAGCTCTGCCCCTACCTCGGCCTCGCCCTCTGCCCCTAATAAGAGTTGTTGCTGGGGGCTCGGGCTGTTGTGCGGTCGATGAGGAAGTGCGTGTCCTTGCCGTCTGCAAAAGAACGGAGTAGAAATTCAATCAGTATTGGGGAAACAGAACCTCACGACAAGAAAGAACAGATGTGAAGTTTTCCTAACTTCGTAGCCTCTGCGGGATAAATACAGACGTCTCCGTACCGATCCTTCAGACTCTACCGAGCTCGTCCGTGAGTTGTGAGACCTAAGTAACTTAGTGCTCTGATACCAACTTGTCACGACCCAGATGTCCCACCATCGGGAGTCGTGATGGCGCCTACTATTGGAGCTAGGCCAGCCAAGTATTAAAACATTTCTGATAACATTCGCAATAATATGAACAAAACGAGACAATTAAATAAAAGCGGAAGTCTTAACTTATATAGAAACTGAATAGAAATGCGGAAAGTTTAACATAATCCTCTACCCAAGATTGGTGTCACAATGCTTACGAACTTCTAAGATTTACTAAATACAATCGCCTGAAAGAAAATTTTAAACTGTTTGTTTCGGTACAAAGATAACAAACTGAATAAGGAGAGAGAGAGAGACTCCGGGCTTGCGGACGTCAGCAAGGCTACCTCGGTGTCTCTGGACTGAAGTCAGCTTCCGATCAAATCCTACTGCTGAGGTCCAAAAGTTGCTCCTGGATCTGTGCAAAAAGATACACAGAGTGTAGCATCAGCACAACCGACCCCATGTGCTGGTAAGTGCCTCGCCTAACCCCGGCGATGTAGTGACGAGGCTAGACTGGACCTACCAAGAACAACCTGTGCAGATATATGTAATAAAAGGAAATATACAGAATCGAAACAGCTAAGAGGGGGAAAGCATGCTATGGGGAGCTAACAGTTTCAAATAGAAATCCTCAATAACAGAAAGAAGTAACGAAGCCAGAATGTCAACAAGTATCAAAAATCGACAATTTGCACGGCATCACCCTTCGTGCTTTACGCTCTTCCTCACCCAAACAACAATCATAAGGCAAACAGGGTAAGGAAATCTATAACCTCGAAGTAAATCAAATAAGAACAAGTAATGAAAGAAACAACATATCTCAGATATCAACAAAGAATCAGAAAGCAACAAATGCACGGCATCACCCTTCGTGCTTTTACTCTCGTCCTCACCAAAGCAATCATATAAATA